AGTGCGAGGCCACAAAAGGCTGCCGTAATGATACCGTCTCTCATTTGGAGATTTTCTTCCCACTCCGAGCACCTTCTGTTGTTATAAATGCAAAAACAGTTCGGCGGGCTGCAGGGAAACTTAATCCTGGATTTGTTAGAGCGCCAAGTGACAAACCGATCCACATAGGAAGAGGGATAAATGACAGTAATCATAATAAAGGACTGTGCACAGGGTACTAATTTGGTTAGGGCTTGATTTGATTGTGACTGCGATAATATATCTGCTGGCTGTGAGCTAAATAACTGTTTTAAACACTGGCCCTGAGAAGACACTGTTGAAACGCGACAGTGTGTGTGAAAGATGAAAGGCGAAGACACGTTTACCCCGAGAAACCTAATGATGTGTCTCCCAAAACCCTTTCCTTTTGGATGATACATAGTGACATGTGTTGCTAAGTATATATTCACATAGAAGGCAACATGTAAAATATGTTGAAGGCCAACTTGGATCATTTATTTGTCAGATTAACGTGATTCCAAAATGCTTTTCCAACAAGCAGCTAAGCCGCTAATTTGGACTGTTAGCGTCAAGATCCCTGATCAAAGTAAAACTCAAACCAAATTCAATCAATTAAAATATGTCTTCTGCTGATGCGACTTCTTGAAAATAAGAACCTTGAAGCGGGCATCAAACATTCGTTTCATTTAGTTCTCAAAATGTTTCCTTTTTTGCTTTTCAGATGTAATATTCCAGTCATGTTTTTCTTAGCTGGAAGCAGAACATAATCATAATTAGCAAATGTAAAGACTATAACGACTTGAAAACATTATTAGTATTGACTTTTAATGTTTCTTAGTGAATCAAGGTACTTAAATAAATTAACTTTTCAATAATGCTCTTCATTAAATGTCAGAGCTCAACTGAAAATAGAGCAACTTTCTAGAGTTTGCTTGTTTCATAAATTGAATCACTTGTATAGATATGCAGAGACTCTTGAAGGGGGTAATATGTATTTTTAAGCACATTTTATGTCACAGTGAAGTACCTTCTGTTGTTATGAAAATGCCATAAATATCAAAAAATAGCTTAAAAGAAATCCGTCTCTGTCTCTTTAAGAGCCTCCTGCCCTTTCAGCACGTCGTCACAGCCACGCTTCTCCGTTGATGACGTTCACAGCCGGTCTCTGCAGGTGTTTGCTAATTGCTGCTGCCACTAGTCTGGAGGAGCTGAGTGGGGGAGGGTCGCTGAGCAGAGATGAATGGTTGCCACGGGAGACTCAAGGAGTTCTCAAACATGCGCGAACGAGGCGTAAGACCCACACCTCAAAGTTTTGACGTTAGATAATCGTGAAGAAAAATAGCACAATTTCACACTTTCCTGACATGTAAAAATAATCTGTAAGATGATCTAAATAGGATTATTTGAAATTTACTTTTTGGCATTCCTGTTTGATAAGTGATAAAAAAGAGCATATAATATGTTCTTTTATAATAAATGAAGAATTTCGACACAAATTTTTATGATATAAAATGAATTACAGCTTTCTCTTGACAAATTTATGAAACAATCTCAATAAACAAATTTTTCTTAACACAAAAAAAAAGCCAAAAAGAGAAGTTTGTCTTTCCCGCTCAACCCAATAAAAGCCTGGGAAAAGTTGCGCCGTCGTTCACGCGGCGTCTCGCTTGGCGATCTTCCAGACGCCCGGCGTACAGAAAACAAGGCTTTTAAGGCTGTCGCTGGTACGTCGCTGTTGTAAATTGGAATTGCTCAGCCGCGAAGGCTTACAAAGATTATTTTGTTTATGAGACATCCTCCAATAATAATAATTAGAGTAAAAAAAATCCCTTACTTACATGTTATCAGTTAAAAACCTTCTGTCTCACTGGAACACGTCCATCTAAAATCCACGCATGGTTCGCAGTGACTGAAGGCGGGTTCTACCAAGTTGGTATCAGTAGTCAGTATCTTACTAGTAGTGGGTATCTGTCTGAACAGCCTCATTTTAGAGAAACAGATCAGTTTCAGTCAGGCTAACCACTGATTAACTAGCTGTGTTTTATGCTCGTTTACAATTCAAATCAGAGATTTTTAAATGAAAAGACGCGAACATTTTTTTTTTTCACATCATCAGATGTTGAGTCCAACTTAACATGTCCTAATTGGTTAAATTACAAAGACCAAAATGATCTGTATTTGTCTCATTTCCACTGAGAAAGAAAGAGTGTGTAATGTTGGGTTTGTCTGACATGCAAAAATATAAGCACTCAATAATATTAACTTTTTCTTACACACTTATTTTTCTAGGATTTAGCGAATCGAAATAGTTTTTGTTACTCTATCAAATACAGCAGAAGGTTTGACTGGTCTTGGTATTTTTCTCCCAGCCGTCGTGTCAATTGCTGATTTCATATTAGTGAGCCGTGCTCTGGTTATGCAGGTCTCACTTTTCTCCACATAAAGGCAATCGGTCGCGACGGTGTAGCTGCACCACAACATCCTGGCCCTCAAAATGTCTTCTTTTAATTTTACACAGAGAATAGAAATATGCTTTCCTGTCTCACTGCGGGGAAATTCATCAGTTGATCTTTGCAGCGGCAGTGGTCACTCTTTTTTTCAGTCTGGTCATTTCATTTTTTATGTTTACTTTAAGACGGAGCTGCATCGTTCATAGTCCTGCTAAAATCAGTGCAACGCAAAAAATTCTTTTTTTTTACACTTACACTCCTAAATTTTCTGTGTGACCAACAACATAACACCTACTATATGCAACAGTGAATATTTCCACACAGGAGCGCACAAACGCTGAGTTAGCACTCCTCATCACTGCTGACCTTTACGTTTGAAATCATCTTCCAGTCCGCATGCAATTCCCTTCACAACAAAGTCGGACGTCGCGAGAACGGGGAAAAGAATTAGACATTTGCGGCACGCGCCCGCACCGGACTTTCGGGGGTCATGTTTTGTCCGCTCACCCCGGTGGTAAATACAGAACCGATGAACAGGAAACCAGCGTTCAGCAGTGTGCCTAATGCTGGCAACATGAAACGCAGCCAACCGTGGCCGTTGATACTGCTGCCGTTAGGGGATTTTAAGTTATTCCCTGACATTTTTCGTGATAGTGTCTTTGCTGCTGACTCCAGATGAATTTTTTCATTTATTTATTTTTTTTCCCTCCCCCTACTTGTTAAATCAAACTCTCCCTCGATGCGCCGAGGCGGCCAAGACCTCCGCGTGTTTCCGCCGGGATGTGTCAAGCGAAAAGACAGGGGGTGAGCAAGGTGAGGGCAGGAGGCTGGGAAGGAAAAGAAGAAGAAGAAGGAAAAAAAAACATGGAGGGAAGATGAGACAGGATGGTGCACAGGCCATTTAGCGGGAGCATGTTCATTAGCATGGAGCTATCCTGACATCCTTGATACAGTAAACAAACTGCGCCTCGACGCGCAACAGCCGTGCCCTCCTTGTTGAAGATGAATCCATTTTAGCGGGGGGCCGCTCGGCTGAAACGGAACTTTTCCTATTAATTACTGACGAGCCGAGTCACCAAATGAGGTGCTTTTCTTTCCTTTCTCAACTTTTTTTTCTTCTCCCCCCACCCACTCCAGGTCGAGATGTGACTGCCACGTCTCAGACCCGTCAAGTCGACTTATTACGCCTTTTCGTCGTGTCGAGAAATCCTCCACCCTCAGCTCGTCTTTTATCAAAATCATTCAAGTCCAGAGCATGACTGGGGAGACTGATGGAAAATTGAGCTGCTCCCTCATGCAGCAAAAAAGAACAGTGCGGCCATTCCCCCCTCGCCCATCACTCCTCAATCAGTCCCAATGTGCACAGATATAGACTATTGATAAATGCCTCTGAACTATTCTGAGACTGGGAATTTAAGGGCTTCGGAGTTTCGCCTTGTATGTCGAGCGGCGCACGGATAAATCTGGCTAAGTGCCGGACAGCGATACTCGCCGACACCTGAGGCAGTCGGTATCTGGGGGCAGAGGAGGGGGCGGACACCGGCCTCCAATTTATCTTCAGACGTGTGTCTCTTTCTCATGATTGAGCTCCATAACTTCCAGAAATGGGCCCTTAAATCAGAGCGCATCTTACAGTGTGTGAATTCTCGCCGAAATTGCAGACAGTGTCTGCCGTTTTCATGGTGGAATGACTGCCTTAATATTTTCAGCGCCGCTCACTGGAGGAGACTCCAGGGGAATGTCTAAAGGCAAAAGTAAAAAGAGTTAGAAACAGGAGTTCAGCAGTATGACGCGACAGCAGCTCCTTCTGATTGTACCTTTGAATTTGCCTAAGCAACAGAAATAATTGTACAACTAAAAATCTTTTTGTTTATTTCATGTAATTCTCCTTTAAGGGTAAAAGATTTTTCTAAGAACAGAGGGATGAAAAAAGTACTTCTTTTAATCAATTATGAATTGAAACCCACATGATTCTTCTTAACAAGAACCTTTCAAATTCATTTGTGGAGGGGGGAAAAAAACGATAAAAAATAAACTCATCAAGCAAAATATCGAACTGAATTAAACCTGAGAGCTCAGCTAGACGATTAGTGCCATTGAAGACGTTTTGAACACATCTACATCTACTCTTCTTTATGTAACTTTGTAAGAAAACAGTTTTTACAGAACGTTTCACAAATTTTGACCACTAGTTTGCATGATCTCTTTAGATCGTTGAGCCCAAACGTTTTCTACAGGGCAGGTTTTCATAAGGTTTACTCCTGCAGGAAGACATTATATAACTTCAAGGCTTTTCACACATCTCTACCAGAGGTGCCAAGTGGTGTGAAAGCAGCTGTGTATGTTCAGAATATTTCTATCCCCTTTAAAACATTTCTGGTTTGCTCATTCTAAGTTTGGCTTGGCACTCTGGTGGCCAGAAAACCACGTGTGTGTGGGCTGCACTTTTACCACACTTCTCAAGCTGAGAGTTTTTGTAACCACGATATTAACTTTTGGTTATTGTGTTTTTGCTTTATTGTTTGTTTTTTTTGTGTGTGTTTTGCCAAGACCCCAAAGCCAGCGAGGGGGCACCGCAGAAAATCGACCACGCCGTCATCGGTGGAGTGGTCGCCGTCGTGATGTTTGCGATCCTCTGCGCGCTCATTGTGCTCGGCCGGTACTTCGCCAGACACAAAGGTAAAAAGCGCCAGCGCTCTGCTCGCGGACACATTGTTGAGAGTTTAAGTGCTTTATTTGAAAATGGAGTGCAGCAGAGTTGAAGAGAAAAGGTGGCGAGGCGGAGCGCGCTGCGCGCTAATTCGTTTCCCCTCCTCCCCCTCCTTTTCTTGCTTTTCCCAGGAACTTACTTCACGCACGAAGCCAAGGGAGCGGACGATGCGGCCGACGCCGACACGGCAATCATCAACGCAGAGGGGGGCCACAACAACACAGACGAGAAGAAGGAGTACTACATCTAAACCAGACGGGCCTGAAGTGATGGTTGGGGACGCGGTGGGAGCACTGCGTCCAGCGTTGATGGGGTAGTAGGACGGCTTGGGTTAGGGGTAAAAGAAGAAGGGGAGAGGAGGAGGGAAGTAGGAATGGCGTCGCCGCGTGGGAAGAAGAGGCGTTCTATGTCCGACCCTTCCTTGGACTGCCGGGTCCTATTCTGTACAGTATAATTATTTTACAGAAAATTTTGTGCCTTGTTCTATTTCTTTTGTCGGTTCGTTGGTTTCTATTCACATGCTTGTTGGATTGGATTCTTTCTCCATGTGCTCTACTTGATCCTTTGTTGCGTTTGGCTTTCAGAGGAGATAGAAAGGGGTCTGGTGTTTGTCAGTGTGTGCTACAACTAGCTTTTAGCTCATGTAACCAGATATATGAGAGGCCAGCTCACTCACACTTTTGTTCACTTTCTTTTTTTCTCTCTTTCTCTCCAGTTGCTTATTACATGAAACCCAGTATCGTCAAAGTTCTGTGGTGCCTCCCAAGTTCATCACATTTAGATGCAGGTCTGATTGGTTCTGACGATTACCTGCACACACACGCACACACGCACACACGCAACCCCCCCTTCAAATTCAGACTCACTGTTGATTACTTGCGTAACCGTTTTGAGTAGTCATGCCTTTCTTTGAATGTATTTGCTACAGGAGTGAGTTAGAGTCACTTATACATATGGGGTTTCAAATCGAGTTGCGAAATGCGACCTATCCCTAACGTAACGCAGAACTTTATTTTGAACCACATTCCTGAAACGTCTCACTATTTTCATCAGATTTATTCGACAAGCTCTCCAAAGTCAGTGGCACCTAATTCCATCCGTTCCTGCAGTCGATGCCATGTTGTTTCTATAAAGGGATGTTTATCTCTTTTTTTTTTCTTTATTTTCGTCCCCAGGGTTAATTAAGATGAAGTATTTGCCAATACAGAGTTTTGATCTAATACTTGCATTTCTTTACAGCCAGATTTTGAGTTGTACACTGCCTATCTCCACTAAATTAACGTTTAAAGAAATGCCACGTATGTATCTATCTGAATGTTCCACGAAAAAATGGAATAAAATCCTTTGGGTTGGTGACCCAGAGCGGTAAATTCAGTCGCTGTGCAATTGTTTCTGCGTCACCGCTGTCCCTTTGAAGCTCTTTTACTTGTAGTTTCCTGTTGGAGCTAGCATGAGGAACATTTGGGCGTTTCACCACCATCTCGACAAATACTCGAACTGCCAACTTTGCAGGATACAGCTGAACGATTTTTGTTTTCCACTAAAAGACAGCTAATTGGCTGCAAACCTTTCTTCACGACATTCACTCCTCCCGCTCGGCTCCTTTCACGCATCCGACGTAAAGCCCGTGTAGGTAGGCGAGAACACGAACAGCTGAGTGCAAAAACCAGAACAATGCTTGGGATCGGGTCGACCTCCATTTTGAGAAACTAATCTAGTTTGTCATAAGACATCATGTGTTTCCATTTGTTAAACCTTTCATCTCCTACGTCATGAGTCAATTGTTGGTTCTTTGTTGTAAAATTGTCAGTTTCATTTGAAAAGTTGGTCTTTATCCTCATCCTGTGGCCAACTTTATTTAATACTCATCCTGGAATCTGTCAGGTTTAGTTCACAGAGGCATTTGTCAGTTGCATTAATGCCGCAGCATCTTCTCAAAAATATTTCTGGAAGATAGTTATCTTTTAAGCAACACTAATGTGCCATGATAGTGAGGCAAAGGTTGTTCAGCTTCTTTCATTTTCATGTTTTTGTCTGGTATTGACAAAGAAATATGTATGAAACAACAGATTGTGAAACGGTTAAAATTAATGGAAAGACACTTTACTGTTAGAGACTGACACTGTAATATTTAGTATCAAGGTGCATATACTGGACCTTAAACACTTTAGCAAAATTATTCTAATTAGCTGTAACAAGTTGCTACCTGTTTAAGTAGCAAATTAGGATATTTGTCTCAATTAGCTAAGCAGAAAATTCAGTAAATCAGCTAGCTAGTTTAAGTACATCGATTCTAGCTAATTTAGTTAAAAAGTCAAAGGAGTAAATTAGCTGCACAACCTGAATATCTGATTAGCTAATAATAATAATAAATAATAACAATAAAAATAATAATAATAGGAACCCAGTTTGGTAGTTTTCTAGATCGTCTGTTTAGCTAATTAAACTGAACTAGCTAAACTGATTTAGCTAGTTAGCTGTGTTTGACCTATTGAACAGATTAGCTATTTTAATCAAATTAGCTTAGCAGCTAATTTAACCATCAAATCAGCTAACTAAAGTTAATAAGCTGCTTAACTATCCATCCACATTGCCTAGTGTGGATGGGACACATCTGGTGCTAGGCTACACGCTAACGCCGGGTGTGTGATGCGATCTGGTGACAAGCTAGCCGCTACCGTAGAGCCTGCTGGCTATCTGAATACCTGAGCTAAATTAGCTGTTGAGCTAACTCGCCTACACTCTGAAACATCATTTATCTTTGTTGGCTTATAAAATCCGACTTCACCAAGTGTTACGTCACGCTAAAACAGACAGCTGGCAGTTCTTCGCTAGCTCAAACTGTCCCCATCTTCATCTTTCCATGCAGACGAACGGCACCAAATACAACGAGTCTTTGTGCACATTCCATAAACAAAGCTGGAAAGTCGTCTCCACAAAATGTCCCTCCTTATCTGCTGGAAGAAAACTAAACCGATGTCACTTTCAATGAAATAAAAACACAAAAACTACCCACGAGTGTTTGGCTTTGAAGTCCTTGCCGACCAATTTTTGTTTCTTATTCTGTTGTTCTTGTCGGTTTCCGACTTAAAAGGCCTTTCAGGCACTGCAAGTATGAGTCCGATAAATTTTCCTCTGTGCAAATACTTTATCTTTGGGCTTTCTTTGATAATTACTAAGGCCAAAAGACTTCACTTGGGGAAGCTCCAATTTTAGTTCTTTATCTTTTATTTGTCTTTTTATTTTTTCCCCTGTCATCTTGTAGCCTCCAACCATGGCAGAGAAATGGCACAGTGCTACAATTTATCTCTCCTTTTCGCCAACCCCAATCAAACATTGTGAACTTTACACATTCTACGCCTCTCCGGCTCACAGCTCGAAGAGCAAAACTTGTTTGGCAATTAACAGGACACTTTATTGTATTGTCTGAAGAAGAAGAACAACAACAACAAGATGAGTAAGGAAGAAAAAAAAGACCAGATAAAAACGAATAACCACTGCCTTAAACAGACCTCTTGATACGTATGATAATGAAACAAAATAAAAATGACTAAAGAATAAAGTGAAGGACATATTGTAGTGCCTTCTGATCTGGAGGCATATGGTTAGGATCATACTCTAAGCTTGTACATATATCTGTCCTTTCTAACTTTCAGGCCAATACTCAGCCAAGTTGTCTGTTCATGCACTATCATCTCATATCCTGGATTTTTAGATCTAAATGATAAATAAATCAAATTCATTCATTTTTGAAAGTAAAATATTTCGAGATCATTTTTTGTGATTTTTTTTTTAATTTTTTGTGTGTGTGCAGTGGGGCCGATATTTATAAAAGGAAAATTCAATTTGGCCTTAAGTATTTAGTCGCCTTTACTGCGTTTGCTATTTATTTGAATATTTCCTGGGTGAAGGCTAAGCAGCTTTCAGAGAGGACTCCAGCGCTAAAGGCTAGATAATAAGCTAGAGTAAAAAACAAATTAATATATCTCTCTTTTTGTCGTTGTTTCTGGATTGTGGAGTTGCGGTGTCATGGAAACAGCTATGCGCATGACAAATGTTTTTCTGGGCTTTGATATTTATCTTAAATGGAAACTGTCGCTTTTGATGGATTAACTTTGAGAAAGGCAGTGGTAGGAAGAGGGGGGGGGAAATCATTTTAATCCAATTTTTCATTTATATTTCTTACATGATGTGTAGTATATATTTTTTCCTTCACTCTCTCAGGTTCATGAGTGTTACTATAGTTGTGTTATTTTTTTTTATTTTTATTTTTTGCATCTCAGGTAGATTGCAAACTTTAAGCCCCGAGTATATATATATAGATATATATATACATATATGTATATATATACGCTGTAGTACCACAGGTATCGGAAGACGTAACGAAAATCACAAGATGTACATGTTCCTCTCAGTTGTACATGTTTCTGTGTTTAATATGGTGCACTGTTACGGTAAATGTTAAATATTATTTTGCATAGGCCTAGTTCACGAGGAAAACTAGATTCGTTAAGCAGCTGAAAACGATGTACAGTCGGTGTTAACGAAACCACGACGATGTTCTCGACACTTCCCCCACCGTTTGCGTTCTGTTCGCGCGGTGCGAGCCAGCTAGTGACCTTAGGATCTTCTCACAGCCCTCCGGCATCTGTCTGCATTGTGCATCGCTTTTCTTATTTAGAAGATGGTGTGTTTACTGTGACATGAAGTTTTATGAATGATCTGTAACCTCTTGGGCGTCTGGATGAAACTCGTGGTTTTAAAGCCTGGGGAGGGAGGAAGAGGAAGGAGAGAAGAGACCGGGGGGGCAGGGGGGGCGGGGAAGCTGATCGTTTTTTTAAACCCCTAGATTGGTTGTTTAGGTTGTTGAATCTTGAATTTATTATTGTTTTGTTCCCAAGTGAAGTTTTTTTTTTGTTTCATTTTTGTTTGTTTTCTTGTTTTTTGTTTTTTTTGTGTTGTGAAGAGGAAGTTTTTTTTTTGTTGTTTTTTGTTTTCATTTGACCATAAATATTTTGTATTGGTTCATGCCAACATTTTTACAAAAGAAAAAAAAAATCTGAAGAGTTCTTGTCTTAATAAAAAGATATCAATGTTTGAAACGGCGTGCAGCTGTCATTTGTTCAAAACAACGCCTCCACTCGTCATCACTTAGGAATCGAATCGCACTAAAATTCACGGCTGAATTTTAAAAACGCGAGCAGATCTTCACATTCCTAACGTCGCTTTTATTCCCATAGTCTCATCCCAACCAAACCGTTTGGAAAGGTTTGGTCAATTTTATGTTATCAATATAGAAAAGGTAAAGGCAAAACGATGTTGGCTGTTCAACAACATAATAATGCAGATAATTTTATTTATAGGAAGTTTTCCTGCAAATAACTGATCTAGTAATTTTAATTTCAATTCACTTGTTAATTTATGCAGCACCAATTCACAACAAATCTTGTTTCGAGACACTTTACAAAAAACCCAAAACATTTTAGTTTAATATCTCATACACTCCCCTGGTTCCAACACAGCACAGAATGCTCAGTTAATTACTTGAGGTGGTTTTGAAAAAATGTAGCAGGCGAGAAAGTTGATGATTTTTTTCCCTCATACCGAGCACGCGCGAGGGCCGACTCCCCTTTAACAGGAAGGAACCCCCTGCAGAACCAGAGCCAGGCTCCGTGCAGTGCTTTATTTCCATCTCAAACTTCAATATTTTAGGTCAACAACTTTTTAATATCAAAGACAACATGAAGAAAGAGGTTTTATAAAGCTGTTTTCAAATGATTTCATTTACTAAGTGAAAGCAAAACCTTTCCAAACCAAGCGTGGCCTTGTGATATTTGCCAGATTATGAATGAACTCCACAGTTGAGACAGCTCAGTTTAATTTCTCTATTGCATGCAGGCCTGGTTGCTGCCAAACTTGTACAATTAAAAAATAATTTTTAAAAAATCCCTTGATCTGTTAACAATATAAGCAAGTGTTTAGGCAGCTTCGGATGGTTGCCGTGGGAGATTCAGGGGTCCCTCAAACATGCCTGAATGAATCCGAGCAACACTTTGTGAAGATGGAATAGCATGATAACATGACGTAAAGCACAAAACGTCTGGCTTAAGTGATTAAACCCTAACCCTTAAATATTGGCACAAAAATATGTGCAAAAGAGCTCGTTAGGAGTCTTATGTCTCATACATGATAATAATTAAAAGGCTCTAATCCTCAGTGTTGCACCGAGTTAACCAACTTCTGCCGTCTTGTCGTTACTCTGACTTTCACCACTTTAATAAAACGACGGCCATCTTGAACGAGTTTTGCATTTGGCCGCCTTTTTGCCACCCGCTTCCTCTCTTCGCCGGTCGAGACCCGACAGCTTCCTTTTAAACGACGCAAGCCCTCGAATGAACCATTCGGTCGCTCCGCTGGCTCGCCGCTAAATTAGTCGCCATCAAGAGAGCGAAGAACTGGAGCGGGACTCCGTGACGAAGAGTCTGAGTCTTTCTCAAGGCAGGAGCGGGTGGAACGTTTTGCCTCGCGTTTGTTGTCAAGTTCACTTTGCTTGTTTAACAGGGTAAAAAAGCATTAGGTTGGATTGGACCTTTTCGCTTCACTCTGCCCTCCTGGCGCTTGACAAATTTACAACCAAAAAAAGAAAGAAAAAAAGAAGGGGGAGAGAGCTTTTGACGTGCAGGGAAAAATATTGTACCGCTGTCGATTGGACGTCGGTGAATGGCAGCGGCGGCAGCAATCTGGGCTCCCATCGGTGACTGACAAGTTCGTTGTGGCGCAGACAGAGGCGAGAAACGTTTTAAACGACACGATGACTGACACCCACAGGCTCAGGGGCCCTGTTAAAGTTTCCAGCTGAACACTGGATGCAGGTGATTTGACAAATTGATAGGCGTTTTGGGGAACAAGACCTAATTCATAACCATAAGCTATTCTGTCATCATAATTCTGTCAGTACCGCCGTTTCCCATTACTTTTAAGTGATCCGTTCCAGGTAAAGGTCAATAACATTATTCAAACTTTAATGGGAGTAGTCTAACCTTCAAAAACCAGCCACTTTTCTCCCTTATTCACACAATGATTTGACTGTAATGCTTCTATGAAGGAGTATTAAATAGCTGCACAAAGACCGACTCCCTCTGTGAATCACGATGACTTGAGATTTGTATTTTTATTATTATTAGTGTTTTTTTCTAACACAAAGTTACATGTAGCCCTAGTTATTAAAAAAATATATGTATCTTTAGCTGCAGAAGCATCATCTATATATTAAAAAAAAGTAGAACAATCAAACTTTTGGAGACATTTTTTGGGTCAGTGGAGGGGCAAATCATCAGCGGCTAAAATAATCTGTAAACATGTCAACGTCATTCTCATCCATTCTGCTTTTAGACTTTCTGCTGAAATGAAATCCGCGCTTGAGTTTAGTAAGAAGTAAAACAACCCAGACAAGTGAAGCACTTAAATTAGACTCTGTGTCACGAAGTGGCTTTGCAGAGAAAATAACTGTTTTTAATGTAGTACGAGTTGAAATAATGACCACAAAAGCCAACTCTGCTGGCAAAGGGGGGGAGAAAGCATATGTTGAACTTTGTTTAGAGTCGACACGCTTAGAGTGGAGAGATGGACCAGGAAGACAAAACAAGAGCGGAGAAACCCAAACACAGAGTGCAGGACTCCAGGAGCCCTTCAGGTCTGAAAACTGTTTGTGTGTGTGTGTGTGTGTGTGTGTGTGTGTGTGTGTGTGTGTGTGTGTGTGTGTGTGTGTGTGTGTGTGTGTGTGCGTGTGCGTGCGTGTGTGTGTGTGTGGGTGTGCGTGTGTGTGTGTGTGCGTGCATGTGTGTGTGTGTGGGGGGGGGCACATGGTGAAAATAGAAGCTTAACAATGCAGGACTTCACACCAAAAATGCTTTTGCACAAACAACTTATCAAAAATCCATCAAGCCGTTTCAAAATGTGTCCACATGGCAATACAAATTTCTTTGGGCTCAGAACTCAATATGAGGTATAATTTGTTTATATAACTGAATTATTTTCACAATATATGCTTTTTTCCCCCTTTTTTTTTCTTTTTATGCTCTTTTTGTGGTTGCAGAAAGGAGAACAAGCCATTCAAGTGATGTAGCGACAAGTAATGGCTGCTTGTCTAAATTTGCTCAAAATTACGAAGAAATAGTTCAGAAGAATAAAGTAATTGCTCCTGACGCCGACAGGGCCGACGGAGGAATTACATTGTTCTTGCCTCCAGATCCACAGGAGGGGCAAAAGAGTGAAATCCAAAGTTCACATGTAGCTGCAAAGAGTGCAACTATTTATTTATTTATTTATTTGCTGCTTCATTGCAGGGCTGCCGGTAACAGCACTGGTGTCATATGAATTAATAATAGTAATAAAATAAAAAACGTAGCTGCATTTTGCTGTTGGTGGCTGTCCAGACACCGCCAGCGTGTGATGTTTCAGATTAATACTACTAATCCTATTTAAATGTTCAATTTTAATTTGGAATGACATGTTTAAGTGTAATTAGCACAATGGGGAAATTAAGAGTGGACGAATGTCTGAGCGCGGCCTGTTTAGCTGACTAATTAATTGATTAAGATTGATGGCATGTACCACTTGGCTTGGCTGAGGTATAATTAAATGTAGCAGGAATAAATAGCGAGTGAACAAAGGCAAAATGCAGCCAGGTCTGACTCAACATCCCCGCTGTTTGGTAAAAACGTAAAATGCTATTTCTACCGAGTTTTCTTTCCTCCACGACGCAATAATTATTCGTTTCGAAACTTTTTCATGAGAGATTTGTCAGGTATCCAGCTTTGACTGTCGGTGACCCATTTTGAAAAGATGTGTTTGACACGGAAGCAGTAATGTTTCACGCTTGTTTTGTCAGGGTGTATAAAAATATGACCAGTTTTAACGTCCAGTTTAGGCATAAAAACAAGCTCTAGGTTTATTGAAAAGCTGGAGACGAATCGGCAAAAAGAAGGGCATCATGGGAGGTAAATTAAAGCTTTGGAAGCTATTAGCCCAGAGCTAAAGCTAGCAGATAATCACTCGAGAAGGACAAAGATGTCCTCTGATAAATCTGGAGGTGCCTCAGAACCGGTGCCAAAAAAACAACAAAAAAAATAGATCTTTAACCCCAAAATATTACTAGAAGTTTTCTGTCTGTGAGCGTCTCTCGGTAGATGGAGGGCATGCTGCAGCTTGTCCCGTTTCTGGGCAAGATTTGAGTCCAAATGGACCCCCTAACCCATCAAATCTGACCTCCCCGTCCTTGCGGTCACAGGTGTGTTGTGCCTTCCGGTAATAGTGGTGGCGAGTTATGATTGTGGCCGACATCTGTTTCTCAGGTGGACAAGACAAATTTGTTGATCCTGGAGAGCAATAGTTACACTTGGCTGGACTCTCCGGGGTCACCTTGACGTTTCGGTGGCATTTCTTCAATCTTGTCCAGAGCAATCTTTGCCCGGTGGTGCCGGGCTTCACCCTGCTTTAAAAAAAACCTGAAAAATAAAAAAGGCCAGTTGCCTTTGGGGAGTGCTGCTGAGGTCCAGGTGGTTGGCAACAGTCTTCAGGTGTCTGTCAATCAAAATCACGTCGGCTTCTCTTCTCACCGGTGAAGCCCGTCGCCATGACGCTCCGAGCACCCGGTCAAGCATGCTGCAAGAGGAATTGGGATTTTTCTGATCGTGCCTAAACTTTTCACGCCACGCCGGACAATTGAAGGCGAAGGTCACAGAAACTCGATCTTTATGTGTCGGTGATTTGTTTTGCCTTAAAGGTGCAAAGAGTCAGAAAGTGATTAGAGTTTTGTCAGGTGTCTAGTGTGAACAAGTGGGAGATTTTGTTAATATTTCCAGTGAAGTGAAGTTTATTGGTGCAGCACAAAACACCAGGGTGGACTTAGCTCTGCCTTCGTAGACACAAGCTCCTTCTCAGAGATGGAGTTCCTGAGCTTCTGCCTCGCGGAGCCGCTCTCCCTCACAACTCCCCTGTTCCGCCCCTCCAGACTAGCCAGCAGCAATTAGCAAACACCTGGAATTGCGCATCAGCTGAGCTCATTATAGGAGCTTCTCAGTGAAACACTGGTGAA